CAACACCCACCACCATCATCATCATCTTCATCATCATCTTCATCATCTTCTCCTTCTTCTTTACCACCATCACCACCACCACCACCATCACCACCACCACCACCATCACCACCACCACCACCATCACCACCACCACCACCATCACCACCACCACCACCATCACCACCACCACCACCATCACCAAACCACCATCATCATCATCGTTAATTATTTTTTTCGTATCTACGGACACGGGTTTTAGGAGGTCCGAGCTTATTAAGACAGAGTTTGTCTACATCCAGGTCCATCTCCCAGGCGTGCAAACACGACATCAGGATCTGGCTAATCAGGAGCGTGGGATTATCCAGGAACGTCTGTGATTGGCTGGTCAGCTGGCTCGGTAGGAGGAGTCTGGATTTTGACGGCGAATCAGAAGAAGAGCCTTCAGGCTGGTCAGACTGCCACGGTAATTTAATTTTTTATAATGATAAACTTGACATGTCATAAAATGAATGGCCGAGACAGGGAGTGAATGATTCAATCGATGAATGATTCAATCAATGAATGATTCAATCAATGAATGATTCAATCAATGAATGATTCAATCAATGAATGATTCAATCCATTCCTCTTCGATCAATCAATCAATCAATCAATCAATCAGCCAATTAGCCAATTAGCCAGCCAATCAATCAATCAATCAGCCAACCAATCCCGTACCTGGTTGCTGGTTAACTTGGCGGCAGTATCCACCTTCGATTGGATATTTTTCGACACGTCGTCAACTTTGCTCTTCACTTTGGAAAGGATATCTGAATGAATGAATAAATGAATGAATGAATGAATGAACGAACGAACGAACGAACGAACGAACGAATGAATGAATGTCTCCAATCAACCAATCAACCAGCAAACCAATCAGATGTCTCCAATCAACCGACCAGCCAATCAGATGTCTCCAATCAATCAACCAACCAACTAGCATCTTCTGCGTGCCACTGAGGTCCTGTCCATTGGCCACTCTCGTGTAGAAGCCCAAACTTTCCAGTGTGTTCGGTGATAGCTGCTCGTACTCGGCACTCAATAATTGCACTGTTCCGATTGGTCGGTTGTTTTTATTATTATTATTATTAAGATTATTATTATTTAGATTAAATAGGATTTTATAATTATTTCATTATTAATATTTGGTATTTGGAGTTAGAAAATAGAAGGATGTTCCCATTATTATTATTATTATTATTATTATTATTATTATTATTATTATTATTATTATTATTATTATTATTATTATCATTATTATTACTATAACTACCGATCAGAGCCTCCGTATTGAAATAGACCACGTGAGAGTCATCGTCCTTGACATTGAACTTCAGGCCCTGAACCAGCATGGCGGAGAGAGACTTGGGGCGCTGGATCAGTGAGGGGTGGGGGATTTTGTTCACAGGACCTCGCGGGTCGTTTATGGCACTCTGGGCCTGATTATGATAATGATGACGCTGATGATGACGACGATGATGATGACGATGATGATAGAGATAATCTTTATCATCATCATTATCATGACCACCGTCGTCATCATTATCATCATCACCGTTACCTTCTTAATATGCTGCTTAGCGAGGTGTTTGAACGTGGCCACGTTGTGCCTCCTCAGGGCTTGACCTATACTGACCTTCCGGTGATGATGACGATGACGACAAATGATGATGATGATGATGGTGATGAATGATGATGATGGTGATGAATGATGATGAATGATGATGGTGATGAATGATGATGATGATGATGATGGTGGTGAGGGTGACAAATGATGATGATGATGACGATGATGAATGATGATGATGATGGTGATGATGATGGTGACAAATACTGATGATGATGATGGTGAGAAGGAGGAAGAAGGATAGGAAGGGAAGAAGAATAACTTGGGGATTGAAAGCCTTATCTGACGTCATTTGGTCGACTTTTTCGTCACAAGCTGACAAGATGTCTTCCGCTGTAGAACCGTTCGATACCCTATCAAGGTGACCTGGTTGGTTGGTTGGTTGGTTGGTTGGATGGTTGGTTGGTTGAATGGTTGGTTGGTTGAATGGTTGGTTGGTTGGTTGGTTGGTTGGTTGGTTGGTTGGTTGGTTGGTTGGTTGGTTGGTTGGTTGGTTGGTTGGTTGGTTGGTTGGTT